AAAAACTATGTGTAAACTTTCTTAGTTTAGCGGAATCATGAACATTTTCGGCGTGATGAATAATTTGTTTACAGTAGTGATGAGGCTTTCGCGCACCTGCAGGAGCGGATCCAAGGATTTACAAATGAATAACATTTAATAGAAATGAAGTTTTAATACTTTTAAATATTATTTAATGAAATTATTAATATGCAAGTAATAGATATAGAAGAAAACGCGAAATGCTAATGAATGCAGCTGACAATCACTACTTTCTAAAGATAAATTAATTCTAAATAAAATAATTATAAATTCTATAGACAAAACAGAAGAAGAATGAATGGTAGCAAAATATCAAATCACATCAGGGGAACCGAATTTTATTAATAAAACTCTTAAGAAGTTCCTTATAAGTTGTGAATTTTATATCTGTGTATTCTACCTGGTTGCTTCGAGGAAGGGGAGGGGGGGGGGGGAATCATGAACATAAACATGTAAAGTAGCATTATTTTGTAGAAAGAATTAAGGCTTATAATTTTGAAAACGTCAAGAAGAGTTGCTTGTGATATGAAAGTCAAGGTCATTTCATAAAGAATGCAAAACATAAAAGCGAAAAAGAGGAAAGGGGGGGGGGGGTAAAGATGGCAATGTCTTCTACAGTTGACAAAATATAGGGGCGAATAAAATGCACACACATATCATATACAACCGTTTTTATTTAATATAAACCCGTTTCCATGGCAACGGGAAGGTTTTTCTGGCCTATCCCAATCACCTGGTAGGTGTTAACTCTACACCACTTCCTACGTGAATGAGCACTGAGCAGTCCCCGCAAACTATATATACGGGGGAAAAATCAATATTTTGTAGTGTTTAAGAAACGTTGGTCCTACGTTTTCGGAAATTCTAAGATATTTAAAGATATTTAATTCCTTCTTAATCCTATCAAGAAACTTGTAATACGCAAAATCTTCAAAGAGGGGTCTTTACATACCCTATGAATATTACAGAAAAAAGAAGTTAGAAAGACGAAGAAATAGAAAAAATCGACTTTTTAATCCAATTTCTGTGACGACCGGAAGTATTGACGACGGAAAGAATATTCATGGTGACATCTACGAGTCATTATCTATGATATCTGATAAAGTTAACTTTCATATCTTAAGCTGTTCTGGAGAAATGGAGCGGACATAGTCCTTTACCAAATTTCGTCTATACAATAATATTAAGAATATAACAGAATGCGATGTAAGGTTCACGTCAAAACATGGCTGACGCAAAACAATTCCTGAATTTTCCCCCTTCAATTCGAGCATTTCTGCATTGGACAGGGCTGATGGTTGTTTATGAGATGAAAAACTATGTGTAAACTTTCTTAGTTTAGCGGAATCATGAACATTTTCGGCGTGATGAATAATTTGTTTACAGTAGTGATGAGGCTTTCGCGCACCTGCAGGAGCGGATCCAAGGATTTACAAATGAATAACATTTAATAGAAATGAAGTTTTAATACTTTTAAATATTATTTAATGAAATTATTAATATGCAAGTAATAGATATAGAAGAAAACGCGAAATGCTAATGAATGCAGCTGACAATCACTACTTTCTAAAGATAAATTAATTCTAAATAAAATAATTATAAATTCTATAGACAAAACAGAAGAAGAATGAATGGTAGCAAAATATCAAATCACATCAGGGGAACCGAATTTTATTAATAAAACTCTTAAGAAGTTCCTTATAAGTTGTGAATTTTATATCTGTGTATTCTACCTGGTTGCTTCGAGGAAGGGGAGGGGGGGGGGGAATCATGAACATAAACATGTAAAGTAGCATTATTTTGTAGAAAGAATTAAGGCTTATAATTTTGAAAACGTCAAGAAGAGTTGCTTGTGATATGAAAGTCAAGGTCATTTCATAAAGAATGCAAAACATAAAAGCGAAAAAGAGGAAAGGGGGGGGGGTAAAGATGGCAATGTCTTCTACAGTTGACAAAATATAGGGGCGAATAAAATGCACACACATATCATATACAACCGTTTTTATTTAATATAAACCCGTTTCCATGGCAACAGGAAGGTTTTTCTGGCCTATCCCAATCACCTGGTAGGTGTTAACTCTACACCACTTCCTACGTGAATGAGCACTGAGCAGTCCCCGCAAACTATATATACGGGGGAAAAATCAATATTTTGTAGTGTTTAAGAAACGTTGGTCCTACGTTTTCGGAAATTCTAAGATATTTAAAGATATTTAATTCCTTCTTAATCCTATCAAGAAACTTGTAATACGCAAAATCTTCAAAGAGGGGTCTTTACACTACTGGCTTTCAAAACCCCTGTCCGTATGAAAATCCCCTGTCTTTCTCTGTAACCTACAGCATTTCCACAATTATCTACAGTATATTTACAGTATGGTACGGTATGCCTACTCTGTACATACAGTAATTCTCAGTATGCCACTGTATGTATCCCCAGCATGCCACAGTTATCTACAGTAGGCCCCAGTACGCCTACAGTAGGCCCCAGTACGCCTACAGTAGGCCCCTGTATGGCTACTGCTTCCTACAGTAGCCTACGGTATGCCACAGTATATGCCCGTATGCCCCTGTAGTGTTCATCGAAGCAAAACAGTAGTAGTATACACAATTCCAGAGGCACTGTACGGTTATCTAAAATGTGGGTTTGTCAATTCAGTACACAGAATTATTTCCTTGAGAATTTTTTTAACATTATTTTATACACATTATAAAATAATTGAAGTCAACTGATACGGGTTTCGTGATTAATATTAGACAAAAACTTCAAGCATATTTTATTGACGCAAAGAAATCATTGAAATGGTCAATAATGTTGACTGATGTGAAATATTCATTTCTTGCTGACAAAATGACAAAAAATACACTATAAAGAGTAAAACTTATTTATTTATTTTTACTTTTCATTTTCTTTATACTTGTTAAGAGACTTATTTGGTTATGTTATAACTCTTAGAAGTTTACAAATCATCGCTTCAAACCCCCCCCCCCCCCCAAAAAAAAAAAAACAATAATAATAATAAAAATAAAATAAATAAATTAATTAATTAATTAATTTTAAACAAAAAATCATTAATTGGTTTTTTATTTAATATTTTTCATTAATTGATTAATTAATTAATTAATTAATTTGTTTAAATTTATTTAATTAATTAATTTATTTATCTTTTTATTCATTCATTCAAAAAATATTTAAACATCAATCTGGGAAGGGTATGATTCTGCACTGAAGAGATTATTCCCTTCAGTACAGTACGGCTACACTAGGGACCTACATTTATATACTAATATATAAGTTCATGGCTATTGACTACATGTACATGTGCTTGTAAAATATATTTCTTGGTGTTTAAATAAACTTGAAAATATTGTGTAACTAGATCTCACCGATGCAAATACATGTATTTGAAAAGCAATCGGCGTCGATACAGGACGTTTTGCATTTATTGAGAAAACAAGTATTCTATTATACGAGGGATGCATTACAAGTATATCGAAGCTATTAATTTCGGCTTTGTTGACAGAGAAATGTGACATCAATTTCATAGGCGTCGGAACCGGGGGGCTGGGGGGGAGGGGGGGCTTAGCCCCCAACCCCCCTTTTTTGCAAAGATAGACATAATATAGGCATTGAAAATTGGGGCTTACCTTTTTTCGTTGGTTTAGCCCCCCCCCCCCCCACTTTCAATTAGCCACCCCACTTTCAATTTGCTTCCAACACATGTCCAACGCCTATGAATTTTGTTAATGGAAATTTCTGTCTGACCTTTTTTTCTTACACAATGGAAAATTCAAAAGTCAATTATATATAATTAAAACACGTTTACTTAGAACAACAATATTTGGCAGACAAAAAGCTCTTCCCCTATAAAATATACGTTTAGAAGGGAACATGAAAAATTCACCAGAAATAAATGTGTTGACCAAGAGGACAAGCTGAGTAAGTAAGAAAAATGTTTTCATAAAAAAATACCGAAGGGGTTGATTATATAAAAGACATTTTTTTTAAAATATAGTATGAATACATCAAAACATGTTTTAATTCAATTCAATTCTTTATTAGCACAAAAGCACATTATAAGAATGTGTTGTTAGCCATAATAATGTTAGACTGGTATTGTCTGTCTCTATCGTTGTATATCGCGCATATCATACAGGCAAGCCAGTCTATAATAATGTTACGGGATCGAGATCCGTATTTTGGAAGAACTCTTCAAAAGTTGGAGGAGAAAAAAAATCACAAGGGGAACCTTGGATGATGAAATCATGAATTACACGTGGACGCATTATTCTTCACTCACTCTGGGATGTATATATTATAGTAAGTACAAGCTGTAGTGTGTGTATTACTTAGGTAATTGTCATGAGTGTACCATGTTTACGGGGCTTCATTACTTTTTTCATCACTCAGTCAGTCGAGATGTTATGCACATCGAGGCTGTAATCTACTAGATTATCTAGTAATTCATCTTCCATTACCCATAACGTTACGTAGTAATTGTCAACGATTTTTTTTTATTTTCGAAATCCTTATTAGGGTATTATTTTAATGTTCTAAGCAAGGAATCATTTCAGAGGTATAATTATTTCTTGCAATTTCATCAACTTAAATTATGTGTCATCATCATGATCATGGCCATGCAAAGTACATTTACCTGATATGTTATTTTACATCTGGTTCAGGAGAAGTAAAATGAGAGCCATTTGATAGAAGACAATAATTTATTATTCTTTTATTATTGAACACTAATATGATCAATACATGTGGCTACCAAATCAAATTCATTTATAATTTAAGTTTAAAAGTGTATATACACATGAGCAGTCATAATGTTACATTACAGATCATCAGTCACTGGTAACTTGACTTGTATGACTAAATAAATGCACATCCTGTCATACATAAAAAGGAATCCTTAAACTAAGTCAGTGAAATCTTCAGCAATTTGTGTAACCTTTGCACAAGGAGATTTCTAGCTGGATCATGGCTTCTTCAAGTCCTTTCTCTGAGCCAGTGCAGCCAGAGGAATATCACTTTCACTTGAGCTGCCTTCCTGGGACTCGGCATTGAATCCTCTGTTAACATGCCCTCTGTAACAATAAAGTCTGATTTTAGAAACTGGTACATAAGTTTATGCATATATTCATATATATAAACCATATATACACACAAACTGGTAGCAATATCATCTTGCTTAATTTTTTGTTATTATTTTAACAGGATGTACGTTTAATTAATTGATGTAATCATATGGTAAATTAATTTATACTTACACATCATGTAGATCTTGTGGAATCAGATTCTCTTTATCTCCTTCAGCCTGATCAGGTCCTGCATGGTTCTTCCTTATAAGTTTGCTAACTTTCACACCAAGACTTGATGCATGTGTTCTAAAAAAGAAGACAGATTTTTTTTTTACATATATGTCTGGAGCTCTGTATATTTAAAATAGTGAATTATTAGGAATACAATGATAGCATTTGTTTTCAATTATGGAAAAAATCATTCTGAATGCAGATAGAAAAAGGTAAAGTAGCAAAACTAAGCAATATGTTTATAAGCATGCACACCAAAATTAGGTATCCAAAACCGCTCTTTATAAATAAACTTCACAATATGTTTAACAAGGCACTTTTCTTTTCAAAATATCCATGTAATACCAGATACATGCAAATTTGGAGGATGTCATGCACACTAGGAAATCGATTTATATTGTTTTATTCACCCAAAATGTTTCATCTTTTAGTAGCTTTAATTTAAAACAAAGAATATTACAGAAAAAAGGATTAAAACTTCTTACTTAAAATTATTATCATGATTTTTTTTTTCATGCAAAGTGCACATGATGATTAAAAATGTTAAATATACACACTAAATCAAGAGGCAACTATTTTAAATTCTGACCTTTTTAGATGAAATATTATTGAGCATGATTGAGAGTGTCAATCAATGTCAATTGTTCATGTCACTGTGGGAAGTCAGTCAGTGGACTTGTATCATTTATGCATTTTAGGCAACAAATATCAATATGTTTGGGGAAGTTATTGTGAAATATCTTATGTTTTACTCAGTTAACTTCTAGGGGAGCTAATTCAACAACAAAAAAATGTTTGCAATCAAATAAACTTAACCAATGTTAACAAGACACTACTAAATTAGGACTTACGTATTTTACTAAGGCCAAACAAAAAAATATGTGTGGTTCTGCTTACACTTCCAAAAAAATTAGGGTAGGTAGGTAGGGTTTGTTTGTTTTTTTTTTAACAAAATGATTTTCTTAATTTTTTCTATATAATACCTATCACTGCTTTGCAAATGGCATTTAGATGTGGAGTGATAATATACTCGTCAATATTGGTAGGGGACACCTACATGCTAGCTTGCTTTGGATTTAACACTACTAAACACTTGCACTATGTTTTGCAAGGAGGCCGTCATTGCTGAAACTAAAACTTAAACTGGATCCATTGATGGAAATCGGGGGAAATTCTGGAAAAAATATGAAAATTGCCAAAAAAAAGTTTAGGGTCGGGGGTATAAAATAGGGAAGGTCGGGTAACCGGAACCACACATATTTTTTTATTTGGCCTAATTTTTAACTGAGTTACCTCTTTCTTGAGTAGTATCGCCTCCACTCTAAGGCCCTCAAAATTCTGTTCTTTACTTTCTTCTCCTCATCACCAGTGTCGAGAGAATGAGTTCCAGCTCTGATGATTGTCACCACTTCCTTCACTGCTGTTTGGAGATGAGAGTCTTTTGAAGATTTCAAATTATACTTGTCAATGGATTTGGTGATAAGACTCTGAAGAAAAAAAGAAACAATATATAAGAATTTTTTGTCACATAGTTTACAATAGCAAGTTTTGATCCAATGATCATGATGATGAAAATTCCTTTTTTATTTTTCAAAATTTAGGCTGGTTATATATATTGGTATACTTATTTTATTTATTTTATTACATATATGTACGTAGTAAAAAATACATTTTTTTTAAATAATGGGGCTTAATAACCTTTGCATCCACATCTTTAAATATGAAGATTCTGGGTTTGTTGTTTTATTATGTCAACATTTAAATGCGAATTCTAATATGAGAAAACAACTGTACATTATAGGCATATTACAGTCACTATACATATACTATTTGTATACATTTTATGCATCCTAAAAGTTGACAGCTAATTCCCTGTCCATTATATTGTTTGTTTTGTTCTGTTTATATTGTTATTTATATATAACTATAATGATTTCAGACATTGTTCATCTTTATGCTCCACTGTGGGCCCACATTGGTTGAATAAACATTCATAAATTCTATTCTGTAAAAGGACCCTATCCCAATTGAAAATTTGCTCATTTTTCCCAAAATGTATATCAGTATAAAATATTCCCAAATGACGTGTACAAATTGAATTTTTCAGTGCTTTTTACATTAAGAGAAACATAAATTTTGAGATTTTTATGATTCATAAACATGTGAATAGGGAATTAGCTTTAAAGTATCTCTGAATTCAACAGTAAAACTAAATAAAACACATTTGATATTTCAAAATTTTACCACTTTTTTGATTAAAATTCCCAAATGAAGATACAGGACCCTGTACTCAAAAGGGTCGATTAAGCTCTACATATAAAACATATATAAACCTGACATCATTGTAGCTGCATAAATTGATCAGCATGTACCCATGCACTACATAGAGAAGAAGACATTTTTCCCTTTTCCATATCACATCCTGTATCAGCCCGAGACACCAATATCAGCCAGAGGGCTGAAGGCCCGAGGGCTATTAATGGTCGAGGGTTGATACAGGATGTGATTTTGAAAAGGATGCTTTTTGTTATAATGTTTATTGCTTAATAATAATACTTAAATAATAAATAATACTTAATAATACACTTAATTAGTACTGTAATAAAATTCAGCACACATCAAATTGATAAAAATTCAAATAAATAATCATGCACTGACTACTGACTTGTAGCATATTATATCAAATAACAATAATTTAAACTTAACAGATTGCGAAAAAGAAATAGGTGTATTATCAGAAGTACTGTTTTTAAGGTTTAATCTACTAGGGGTGTGACATAAATCCGTATCAGCCCTGCAGATCCATATAAACCCTGCAGAATTCTTATCAGCCCTGGAAGCTGATACGGCCATAGTAACATCAGGAATATGGCATTTGCAAAAAACATGTATTAATTACAAACTACTAAGCTGCTGTGTATTATATGGAATGGTAATGCATCTACTGCAGATCTAGGTTGGTTTGGTACAAACAAACTGTCATGGAAGTTTGCTTATATATATAGTAAGATTTTGACACAGCTAGAGCTTCAATACACCATATATTTTGGGACTCAAAGGACATTATATTATATAAAAATTTAAATTTGGAGCTTGTCTAATTAAATTTTAACATATAGGAACAGCCATTCATTGCCAGGAAAAATGTTCTCAGATTATGAACTGTTGATGAACAAAAATTACTGTTGCCTAGTTTATTTATCAGTTGCCAAAAAATGTAAAATTAATTCATCTTGGCCAAATCAATTGTTGATGCTTGAACTGACTACAAATGGAGAAATAAACTGTATAATTCATGCAATTTATTTCAGTTTAAATCTAAGAGTAGCTTTAATTTTACTTCAGAAAAATTCCATGGCTTTAAACCTCTGTAGTGTGCAGTGTAAAGGGTTCCATAGATAGAATAAAGATTTTAGATTAAAAAAAATCCATTCAAGAATATTTCGTACCACTGTGAGCATGATCAAAGAAATTAAGATTTAAATGGAATTTTTGAATTAATTTGGTATATAATCATGACATTTAGGTCATATTGCGTGCTGTTTGTTCAGATACTGTTGATACATGCTATATGTGGTATGCTGAATGAAATTTTATTTTGTCAGCCCAGTGAAATTCCTTAAAACAATTTCTTGAAATTTATTATGATATATTTTTTTTTAGTGAATAACTTAATTAAAGGGAACTGGTGAACTTATTCGTCATCAGTCAGCATAACCATGCAAAGAAAGTCAAATCGCACCCGTGATAATGAAAATATTCTTACTTGTAGAGAAGTATGTTCTGATGTCCCCCTTTTCCACAAGTTATCCACTGCCATGGTCTGGGGAAATGTGTCAAGCTCAACAGTCTGTGTCGCACAAGATTGTTTGGGCACATTACAGGGACAGTAATTTCCAAGCTGCATTTTGGCACAACACATGCAGTTAAAGTCACATTGTCTATAAAGTCTCTGCTGTGGATTCTGCACAGGATAGGAATTATCCCAGGACAAAGAATGGAAAGCTGAATTTGTAGACATCTTATCACTAACAACTGATGTTCCAAACTGGCAGAATGAGGTAAAGTACTTTGCACCAGTTATCTATCAACACTTTAACCAATTAAATTTAATTACCTACTCCTCATTTAATGATATACCACGACTTTGATAATGCAAACATACAATTAACTAGCAGACAGTTATAGATCCCTTTGTAATAATTAATTTGTTAAAAGGGATTAATTATTGGCTTCATTTTATATGCTTCCTTTTTAATTCAGATGTTTTAAAGGTGCATTAAGAACCAAAGTGCTATACTTATTATTGCTAATTTATTTTAAATGTTAGAAAATGCAGCATAACCATGATTACTGTTGAAGAGTATTTTCATTTCAAATTATATTCAAATCATCATTTGAATATTTATGTCTAAAGATAAAAAAAAAAAACCATACTTGCATCTATTTACCTACAGTGTAGATTATCAAGGATATATATTAAGAATAATCCATTTAAAATCTTATTTGAAAGGTTTAAAAGGCATTAAGTTTGTTGAGAATTTAATCACACAATTTCTATTTACTTCTGTTATATATCAAACCTAATGGTGTACATAAATGAGCATGTTTGTGCACTAGCTTTCACAAACAATTAAGATAGAAAGAATTCCACTGTTTTTCTTATTACATGGTCTGTTAAATGCATAAAATTAAAAAAAAAAAAAAGGGGGGGGGGGCAGGAGCATGTCATTGACATTACTATACTTCCTGCAATTTCCCAGAAATTAAAACAAATCTGTATAAAAAGACAACAAAATGAACTATATTTGCTTTTTTTTAATGTTTTAATTTTTTTCTTTTACAAATCTAATCACAAGTTGCTTGTATGTTTTGTCTTACCAAATAAGTATTTTCAAAACATTTCAAAAGATTAATTGTTAATTCCACTCTTCCTCTGAACTTGTGTATATCTAAAGGAAAAACCCCTGCAGGCAACAGTCTCAGCTTCCAATTTGCAAGATATTTGATCAAAGCCACTGTGTCCTTTTGATGACTGATCAGAGTTTCAACAGTAGCAATTCATACACAACAGTAGCAATTCACACACAGTCAGTTTCATTTACTGTGCCATTGGAGTAGGTTCTTCTTATGATAGTTCTAATTTTTTTCATTGGAGCATGCATTTTGAATGCATGTGCAATAAGTGGGGGCATGGAAGAAAAAGTACCTAATGGTAAAGATGACTTAATTATAACTTTACAATTATTTTTATTTTCAGACAAATATCTTTGAATTTAGAAATGAAACAGCATCAATCTATTTACTTTAACTTTAATAATTATACTATTCACAATTCTTTATTGAAACATTATATAAAATGTTTTAATAATTCAAAATATGTTGTTTTTAATTTAATCATGTTAAAGTCTTATATTTAATCAAAAACTTATTTATTTTTTTTAGGTGCCCTAAAGTTTTGCACATGTTTCAACTGCCAAGGAGCTTGGATTTCACGGTATTCCTTTTACAAGCACAGTGAGAAGTTAACAGACAATATTTCCTCCTTGCCTAGACCAAAATTTCAGCATGCAGAAAATGAGTATCACCGTGAAAAGTACAGACAACCTCTGTTTGACGGATCATCCACAACAATCCTTGAGGCAGTTACCAAACATCTCTACATATTTTCAGTGAACAATGGAATGTCAAAAACTGCTGTATCAGATAGCCTTCAGTGCGAAAAGTCATCTCTACCCCAACCAAATTGTTTGCCTGCATCTTTTAAGGAGGCCAGAGCTTTCGTTGCACCATTTCTGATGCCATTGGAGAAGCATGATGTATGTATCAATGACTGTGTAATTTTTCGAGATAGTGGTGATTTGAAGTTGGCAAGAGACAATGTGTGCCCAAAGTGTTCCGAACCTAGAATGGAGAACGGAAAATCAAGGAAAAGTTTTTGCTATATGCCTATTGGACCACGGTTGGCTCGGTGGTTTGGGACATCAAACCTGTGTAAATTGATTTATGAAAAAACAATAACTTTTTCTGGAAGTAATCGTGATGTAGTGTTAAGGGACTTTACTGACAGTTCACAGTTTCATTCTTGGTTTATGCAAGGTCAAGTGTTCGAAGAAATGGACAAGCAACTGTGCGTACCATTGTCACTTTTTACCGATGGAGTGAACCCAAACAGAAACTCAGCCTGCCAAAAGTCTATGTGGCCTATCATTTTGACATGGATCACTCTTCCCACATCCATTAGACAGCTGCTTGGTCCTATGATGTTAATGGGGATTATACCAAGTGGAAAGAATGGAGCTGAGCCCAAGTCCTTGGAGCCATATCTGTCTGTTGTTGTTGATGAACTTTTGTCTCTTACAGAATTTACAGTTCAGAATTCATACATGTCTGCCCCTGTGTCAATTAAAGTAGCACTGCTGCAGTATCTATGTGATATCCCTGGATATTCCAAGTTGCTGCATTTGTCTGGACATGGTGGCCTCAGATCATGTCCTTACTGTACGGAATCAGGCCATTACTGCAAGCATCTTAAGAAAACTATACACATTTCTAACAGGAGGTTTCTCTCTGCTGATCATCCCTTACGTGATTCTGAGGGATTTGCCATCCAAGGGCAGGACATGAACAGTAAACCAGAGCCCTTCTCACGTGAAGAGGAAATCCACCTAAGAAATCAGTACGAACAAAAGCCAAATAAATCTCAGAAAACAAACCACCAAAAACAGACAGGATTGAAAGGTCAATACATCCTTCAGAATTTGCCATACCACAACAGGATGGAGCAAATGTCACCTGACGGCATGCACACACTGGCAGATTTTATCAGCCATCTTATGGAGATGCTTTCTGGCAAGTTTAACAACATGAAGGTAAAATCGTGTGAAAAAGAATTCAACAGATTTCCTGAAGTTTGGTCAGAGCATGGAGGAAAGGATGTTGTTCAACCAAAGAAGAGAAGAAAAGTTCAGAAGACAAAGACTGTTGAATGTAATTCAGAGTTGGACACTCCTTGGTCCTTAACCAAAGAACAGATGAAGTTAGCAGATGAAAGAGCCATGAACATTGTTTATACCCATGCACAAGAGATTTCACCGGGGCCCCACTTCACCAAACTTTGGACTCTGAGGACCATGAATTCAAAATTACAAGTAAGTTTATTAAATTCATATCTAATTGTGCTACTTCATTATTTGCATGGGCCATTGTTATGAATATGCATGGTTTGATTTAAATGTAAAATTTAGATGTTATGATGATTAAATATTATCAAATTTAAAAAAAGAAGAGTAGCTCAGAGACTTGTATGAATTCAATGTATTACCTAAGTACTGATATAGTCCTTTTTGAAAGTTATTTATAAAGAAACAAACAAACAAAAACAACAACAACAAAAAAAAACAATGACTTCGATGCATGAAATTATGTACCCATTTCTTAGAATACATGTTTAAGCACATTATGCTATAAAGATAAAAAGTAAAACTGCCTATTATCCTCTATTTGTACATGCTAAAGGGCTGAGATGATCGCATGTTTATCTTATTAAGCGACTCAAATACAGCTAGGTTAAGTTGACAAAGAACTCCTTTATCATTAAACATATGTATCTGAACAATAATTTCAATTTCATAGTAGGAATATATGTGCATTGTATTCATTTTCAGTTTGTGACATCAGGGGCATTTGAGTGGTGTATTCAGGGATTCCTCCCTCCAGCCCAAGAGAAGACTCTACAGGCTATCTGTGATGTTATTAAACGAATGATTGCACCTGAACTCACCATATCTGAACTACCTCAACTCCAAGCTGATACACATGAAGCCCTTGCTATGCTGGAAAGAGACTTTCCACTTACAATGCAGGTAAAATGCAAGAAAAAAATAAGTATTATCATGATTATATCAATAGATTTTTTGGAAATGTAAAAAAAAAAAATTACAAGCATGTGTATGTAGACTTTCTGGCCATCTTTTATAACAATTTACAGTCTTGTTGTCAGTTGATAGATAATTATATAAAATTATTTTAAATAGCCTTCTCCAAGTTTGAAACTGAGATAAGGTTGTTTTTTATTATTTCAAATTATTTGGTTTAGTTTTTCAATATATGCTTGGTTTAATTCTTTTTAGAATCTCACAACCCATTTAATTCATCATATTGTGGATGACTTGGCCAAACTTGGCCCCATGTATGGGAGATGGCTGTTCCCGTATGAAAGGGCAAATGGCTGGATCACAAGGCAATGTTTAAAGAAAGGGATGGAGGAATCTACTGTTATGGAAACATACGTAGTAAGTGGCACTAACTTTAGATACAATTTCTGAATCAATTATGTTGATCTCAAACATGGTTAAATAGAAGGATATGAACTGGTAGACTGTTTTACTGATATGCACCTCTTATTTTAAAAAAAATAAATAAACAATAGTAAAACAATTTTCTTCATAGATTGCTGAAATATATGAACTTATTTTATTAATTTAAATACATTATTTTATAGTTTTCAATTTTTTTTTTTTTTTTTTTTAGATATATGACTGGTGTATTTACATGATTTTGAGTCAGAAGTTCAATCCCAGTGATGTGTTTGGTGGTGAGAAGTCCTTGGTGAAGATAAGCCAACAGGTAATGGAGGAGATGAGCAACGAGTCAGGTTCTGCACCAAACAACCAACAACCAACGAAGAATGCTAGAAGTCTGCTGACGAAGGAAATGAGACACCACATGCAGAACTTCTATCTAATGGACTTGAAGATTAGTGCTATAATGTTTACAGACACTGTGACTGAACACCATGGAATGCTCGATATTACAGATGACAGTGGTAGGAGCGTCCGATATGTCGGTGACAAATACAGAGGGAGTAAGCCACGGTCTATCGTAAAGCTGCATAGTGTAAATGGCGATCTGTTTGGGCGCATTTGCTTTTTCTTAGAGCATGTAGTTGATGGAACTATTCATCATTGGACAATTGTTGATGTGTTCCCTCTGGCTGAGAAATGCGGTTCGTTATATCTTTTGGAAGACAATCCAGTTAGACGGCAGCTTTTTCATGTAAGCAGACTTAGCAAGCCACTCGTTCATAGTAAAAAACAGAATACGATTTGGATTCTCCGTCTTCGGTGATCTGGATGGTGACAGTGATGATTCAAATGGATCTGATTTGCTGTAACAATTGATGTAATAGTGTAACAGGAATACTTTGTTGTGACTTGACCAGAGTTCTCCATTATTTTAAATTAATGGAAAATCTTTAGTTAAAATTAATTTCTTATCTTGTGTCACTGGTTTTGATGTGCATATTATGAAACACAATAATGTAGCTATGTTAAAAATATATTCAACATGTTAACCAATTTCAAGAAATTAAGACCTAAAAATTATTTTGGCATGTTTAAAGTAATAAAGGGTTATGTGAAAATTTGATATTTTTTTTTGGGGGGGGGGGGGGAGGGAGGGATTATTTTTAATTATCGGAGAAGAGTATATATGTATATACTAGGAATTTGAAAATAGAATCCTGCTTCTGTTGTTCACTTTTCAATGCATATCTGCCGTATTTTTTTTACAAATTGCACGTTTTCAGTGATGTCAAATAAACAGATTTGATTTTGTACATTTTATTTAACCACCATAGTAGAAAAGAAACATTATCAATCGTGGTCGCAACACTAACTGTATTCTTTGAATTTGCAAATCATTGTTTTATTCTTTCAGGATGATAAACATTTGAGTGAATGCATGGCTAATCGAATAAAATACATGTTTACCAAAATTTTGTTTATTTTCATATTTGTTCCTTGCAAGTAAATTGTAATTTAGAAGTTGTGTTTCCATTCTCTTTGCAGTAAATCAGTACAAAAATCATAAAAGGTAACTAGACTGAAGAACTTTTGTTTCTTTATAGCCATGTTTACCGTTTGAAGTGCTAGCTGTCAATACGAATGCATTTATATAACACAGTAAAGAGCAAGGAGTTTGTAAAGCAAACATTTTAGACTGAAGATTTAGAATATTACAATAGTCTCCGTATGTAATGTTAGATGAAGGGTAAATATACATGTATCATATGGACATGACATTAACAGATATTGGTGGGCATGGGGAGTCCTTTCCCAAGTATCGTTGCATTTCTTATCATTTGTCAAACAACGAATGCAAACACTCCGTATATTTTGGCGTTCTTGAATAGTAGATGTAAGTATACACGGAAATATAATATAATTTAACCCCCCGAGAAGCAGCGTAAACGTTAAAAGATTTCATTCAATGTTATGAATTATAATAAATTCTTTTATATGTATAACACAATTTCATTCTTATTTTCACTGATTATTTCAATGAATTCAATAGATAATTCAATTTTGCCAGGGACCTTTAATTTCAATCCGTTTGTCCTTAATTATAGATCAAAGAATACTGTCATAGACTTTGACCTCGCTCAGCTTGGTGTGGGAAAATTGATAACCCACTCTAAATTAAGATGAACAATTATATTATTAATTTTAAATGTTTGATGATTTTGAAATTACTCTCATGTAGCTCAGATTAAATACTTTTAATTACATGTATTTACAAACAATATAAACTTATATTCTTCGGTCCAGTCTATGTCGGGAGAAATGTAATTCATAATCGCTCACAATGTTCAAAGATTCAAATAGGTGTACCAAGTCTGTTTCATGCGCGAGTGTAAATGGGGGGGGGGGGGGGAGTAAGTTTTGGCCTCCCTGGAATTACTTAAGAAAAATGAATTTGCAGTGCCTTGGTATTTATAATGGAATAAGATGGTTATCATTGCATATAAAAAACTTTCTTCGGTGTTTGATTTCTCAAAAAAAAAAAGTATTATAAATAGATGTAAAATGATAGTTCGTTCCGCCAATTTGTATACCGGGTGGTTTGGTGAATAAACTGAACTGAACTTGAACTTGACCATTAATCTGATAATGAGCCCGGTACAAATTCATAAAAGAGAATAAGTAAAAAATAAGTATTGAGAGGACACACTTTCCATGTAACGCCATGCCTTTAAAATTTGATTACAAGGTACATTTAGTCTCACATGTACATATATAATAAATTCGAACCTCGTATGCGTTTCAGCTACATAGGAATCATTTGTATGATTAACAGAGTTTTTAAATGTTGCTAATTTATGTAATGCAGACTAGACCTTAGTAAACATTCTTTCTAACACCGACTGGCGAAATGTAGCATCATTTTGAGGGTGTGGAAATGGGAGATTAGGCTTTAAAAAGTCAAATTTCCGTCTTTCTTTTGACACTCTGAATTGTGTAAGAAAAAAAAAAAAATTAGTCATGCATACTTCTGTGTGCTGTCTTGTGACTATGTTCCTGAGGTTTAAACAGAAAAGAATGAGTTTGAAACGAAACAGTTTATAATCATTTTTTTAAAATAAATGATACGACCCAAATTTCAGGAATTAAATTGAATTAAGACTTAATATTGAATAATCTTTTTTTCTTCAAATGTTTGACAGATACATTCAGGTGTTTCAAATGTCGAATTTTTTCACATCAATTAGAATACGATACAAACTGCATATAAGCATATATAGTTAAATTTTAGATCTGTAGATTCTGATATAAAACTGAGAGAAGATTTAGGTTCATGTAAAGACATTTTTTCCCCTTATTTCTCAACTGTTAACGCTGACCTTTGTTTGAAATAACTTCTTTTCCATTTTTATTAGCATAGTCTATATTGAATTTATGTTTTCTCTCTCTCTCTCTCCGGACTCGTTGATTTATTTTACTGACTTTTTATTCCAATGTACTCGTAAATAAAAGGATTACAGGCATTCATGCCTGCTTTTTAATGCATTAATTTTTACATTGCAAAAATTATATTTTCGCCTTATGGCATTATTAAGAAGTTTTAAAAACCAAAACGTACTAAGTATGTTTAATACATGCGTTTCACCCCCTTAAGAACGCTTAGGAAACAACATCGACTGTTGAAATTATTAGTATAATGTACAAATCAACACTTAGAATTTTAAGTATATTGTGCATCAGTGAGAATTTCACAGAAAATCATTTCTTTTTTATTTGACATTTTTTTAAAATTCAATTATTTAAGCAGATCTATACTATAATTTAAAATGATACATGTAGTTCATAGTGAATGTGATCTGAGTGATCAGTCAGTTGTTTATTTAGTCGTAACACTGGTGGTCAGACGCAGCCATAGAACAATAGGCAATTAGGACCTATTGTTAAGCTGACCATTGCAAATAACATTAGATATATACAAGAACCTACCTAGGTTCTGTCTCACTGCTTACAATGAAGTTGATAAAAGAAACGCGCGGGGGCGGATCAATGATTTTTAATCATAAGTAGGTCTGAAAAATGAAATTAATTGATAGAGTAAATGAAATAATTATTAAATTATGAAATAATTTCATAAAAAAAAATCTGTATCCCCATTAGAACCATACCAGCATACTAATGAATTTTTTGATCACGCAATCGGAGAAGTAAAAAGGCCATGTTTTGTCGCCGTTTTTGTGCAACAAACTAGTGTTCTTATCACTTCATGGATTTATTATTAATATTGATAATACGGTCTTGGTTTTAAATAGCGGAGACAATGTGTGCATGTGTGTGTGTGTGTGGGGGGGGGGCTTATAAACTTAATAGCCATATACAATACTCCAATTTTATTCACAGTATAAGCTTTCAGTAGTTTGGAATATTTATTAATGTTGCCTATAAAAAAAATCAATTATCGATTTCACAATCGAAACTTTATTGATTTGTTACAGGATATTGCGTAAATCAAAACGCAGATTAGGATTCGTCAAAAATGCGACACACAATAGAATGGAAAATAACATTCAAATGATTTCTGGACCGTCTTAACGTTACAAGAAAAGAAGAAAAGAATAATTTCTCTCCAGTTCTGCTAATAATAAATTATTTAATGTACGGGAATTTAATTTACATTTCACAAATAGATAATAATTAAATACTATCTGAATACGAATTGAAATTAAAATTTATCAAGTGAGCTTCAATAAGAATAATTTGTTATCACGTCCTTTAGTTCATTATCCACTGTCATTTTTAACAATAATTTATCGGGAATTGTTACGTTCCTAGATAAAAAAAAAATAGTTTACTTCTTTCAAAACATGTTCATTTTATCGGATTGAAAACCATATGGATTTAATACAAACTAGTTCTCCTTTTTTTTAATAGAAAGTTTAAAAATATACATTCAATGTGTTAAAACGGTCTGACTTTGTTGATGAGTTGATGAATTATTCTGTATTTAAATCAACAAAGAATTAATTTTACCGGCACTTACAACAGAACAGGGTTTTTTTTTGTTTGTAATACTAGTGATTAATTATCATCACTTCTGATAAACTGACCGTAATCAACCCCATCAGAAATAAATCTATATATTATTACTTGTTAAAACATAACAAGTATAACATTAATTTAGAGATGTAATGTACAAATATCATTCTATAAATCATTAATTCTTCTTCGTTAATAATTTTAACCGATGTATAGCTTCAACTGTAAAGAATTTGCCTTTTAAATCATTGTGTACTTCTACCGTTTTGCTTCGGTGAACAATGCAGGGGCCTACTGGGGCGTATACTGTGGCATACCGTAGGCTACTGTAGATAGCAGTAGCCATACAGGGGCCTACTGTAGGCGTACTGGGGCCTACTGTAGGTAACTGTGGCATGCTGGGGATACATACAGTGGCATACTGAGAATTACTGTATGTACAGAGTAGGCATACCGTACCATACTGTAGATATACTGTAGATAATTGTGGAAATGCTGTAGGTTACAGAGAAAGACAGGGGATTTTCATACGGACAGGGGTTTTGAAAGCCAGTAGTGTTACATACCCTATGAATATTACAGAAAAAAGAAGTTAGAAAGACGAAGAAATAGAAAAAATCGACTTTTTAATCCAATTTCTGTGACGACCGGAAGTATTGACGACGGAAAGAATATTCATGGTGACATCTACGAGTCATTATCTATGATATCTGATAAAGTTAACTTTCATATCTTAAGCTGTTCTGGAGAAATGGAGCGGACATAGTCCTTTACCAAATTTCGTCTATACAATAATATTAAGAATATAACAGAATGCGATGTAAGGTTCACGTCAAAACATGGCTGACGCAAAACAATTCCTGAATTTTCCCCCTTCAAT